AACACCGGCGAGCACCGGTTTGTTTCATAAATAACGGCGGCAATGGACGAAATCGCGAGTGACCGATCCGTTTCGGATCTCGATCTCGGGGGGAAGGGGGGAGGGAGGAGGGGGGGAATATCGGGAGACACGGCACGAGGAACGCTCGCTCGTTCGCTCGCGCGAATTGCGAAAGGCGGCAATCGCGATTGGATCATGCGCGCGCACGAGAGGACATCTTGGGGGCCCGCAATTGCGACACGCGCACGCAATTACGCAACTTGCGTAACCTGCGCTGCAAGCCGGCGACTCGGTCTCGAGGAACGTGCCCGTATATTCGCCATGTCGAGCAGGGGGGGAGAGACTGGCCGGTATACCAATTCATCTGAAAAGGTGGGATATCTAGTACTCGTGTCTGTACCAATAATATGCACTGTTAAAATGTGCAGAAAAAATAAAATAAAATTCAATATGTACTTTTAAGTTTTACACAAAAATAAGTTAAATTTAATCACCGAGAAAAATGATCTGATTGAATTAAGTAATTCTAAGACAGTAGATATGTAGGTATTCCTATCCACCATTTTGACTTTACTTGATTGTTATGGTACGATTAGTGACAGAAGTAAATGTAAAAAGAGCCCGCTCACCTGAAATTTTAATAAAAATATATTTCGAATCGATTTAATATTTCGATTCGCGGAACAGAGCGATACTTTTTTCTTGTCAAATCTTTATTTTTGCGCAAAAAACGCATCGATTCAATGTATTTTTATCAAAATTTGGGCTCTTCTTAACATTTATCTTTGTCACTAAACGTAACCTATTAATCAAGAGGAACCAAGATGGCGGATAGAAATACCTATATATCTAGTGTCTTAGTAATTCTGGTGGAAAATGAACGAATCAAAATTTTCTGATTAAATCTACTAGTTAAGCTAACTGTATAACTATATAATTATTGTGATACAAATAAGAATTCTAGTAGATTTTATCACAAATATTGTATCAACCAGAATTCGGGTTATCTCAATCAGAATTCTAATAAATTTTTTAAAACCAAAAAATTCATCCATTTTCAACCAGAAATTTCAGTGATTTAATGACATTACATGTAAGTATATTTATGCTCATATGTATGAAATTTAGTGTACTTTTCATAAAATTTAGTACATTTTCCATTAAATTCTGTACAGATTTGCATGAAACTTCATGAATGTTAAATTTTTGTTTTTGAAATATTTATGGTGTGTGTGTGTGTGTGTGTGTGTGTGTGTGTGTTTTAAAACGATTTAATAATTTAAATAAAATTGATAATAGTATATAACAATAATAACTTCAATGGAGTGCAAGTAATAAGAAATAAACATTTTGTATGTATGTATTACGTTTTTCATAGAATATGGAAATTTTACTTTACTGAATATGGAAACTTGAAACATTTGAAAGTTACCCATCCCCAGTCGCCTCTTTGAAAAAATTCCAAAAATTAAATTGTGATTCCTGAGATATATTATGACGTATATGACATATATTAGTTTATATAACTTTATTTGTGCCACCCTGTATATATGCATGTGTTCTTTAATTTAATATAAAAATCGATTACTGCAAAATGGTACGAAATACCGATAATTTTTTGGAATTATGATTTTGTAATATTTTTTCTTTTCTTTCTTCTTCTTTTATAACTTTAGACATTGCTCAATTATAATTTCTAAATGTATGCAAGTCATTATTATGATTCTGATTAACATTATTATTACTATTATCAAATACTATTATTTCTCCTCTCGAGAGAAATGTTGCTAAATCAATCGAATTTGCAGCATATTTCTGATGCATCTCTAACAGAAGAAATCATACGAAGAAAAATTATTTCTCGTAATTCCTTTCAGTGAGAAACACACATTGAAAATACACTTCGAATCTGTCTTATTTTGTAATCGGTCAATTCAATGACATAATAACAGTAATATCGAGATAATATCGCAAGTTTTAATATTTTATAATCAAAGGTTTTATATTACGATTTAAAAAAAGACAGTGACGCACAATTGCGGCTGAAATTACTTCGGTATTCGTATCTCAGATACCGGTTTTCGTTCACACTTCACTCTTATCGTAATGCATGTATTTGTAGTACATTACTTTACATATATCACAAAAAAATCTCAAAAATAAATGCACGCGTTTATTGATAAAAGTATACATACGGATCACTCACTCGAAACGGAATCGATAACTTTGTTTATTTATACAATATATATATATATATATCTACATTTGTGTGCTTTAAACACTGAATATCGATGCTTCTACAGAATATATCAAGCTTCGTCTTATACGAATCAAGGGCGATCAACGTTTTCGTATTCTGCTCTCGTGAGTGACCGTGAGGGTTACACGAAGTGTTCTTTCCGACAGTCTCAGGTTTCCGTTTTTTTTTTTTTTCTTTTTTTTTTTTTTTTTTTTTAACTCCGCATAATTTGATTCAGAGCGTTGCACAATAAGATCCAGTAAATTCCACTAGTATTAATCCCAAATTAACTCTATCAATACAATTTGACCTAAATTGTTATTCCTTTCATTTTTCAATACAAAGAAGGACGAAAGAGAAAGGGACAAAAAATTAAGATCTTGCAACTCGGGCGAAGGAAAGGATGCATTAATGGAAAGCTGTGTTTCGAAATGCGAATATTTCGAATATTTTATATACAAGAAAAGAACGATTTTGTTAAAGTATTTCAAAATTTGCTGAAATATTTCGAAAGGTAGATACAGATCTAAAAATAATTTCGTTCGACCGTCAAAATAATTATGTAAGGAAATTCAAGCGTAATGAGCAATGCTGTAAAAAGTTCTGATGTTCTAACAACCAGTTCGTCTTACATAATTATCTTCATAAATCTAAATTATTTTTAGATTTGCATCTAGTTAAACCTTTAAATGCTTCAGCAAAACCGTTCTTTTCGTATACACTCAGAAAAATATTTTAAAATATATCTATTATAAATTTTAGAAAAACTTTATTTTGTATTCAAAATATATAAGAATTTATTTATTTATTTTTTTTAATGTTATAAAATTGATCGGAGAAGCAATTTTATACATATATAATAAGCAAATCGAATTTGTTTTAATTTAATAATTTTAATCAAGGTATTAAATTTAGTAGGCTTATATTTTGAATACTTCTAACAAATTTATAATAGATTTTTTACATGCACATACTGATAAAAAATGATGCTACATCAACAGCATTATTGAAAATAATTTTGTTAATGCAACAACACTATTAATAATGAAACCAACACGCCATGTTCTTGATTTATAATTAATTAAATTTAATAAAACTATATTTGTTTCATTAATACCATCCTCCTAGATTATCTCCAATTAAAATAACGGCGTATATTTTTCTGTGTATAGAAATGATAAAAAATAATTCAAATTAGGTATAACCTGACTATCCTACTACAAACTTAACAGTATTCTTAGTATATCTCAGGTATAATTCTATAAATACACAATTGAATTGAATTAAATATCCCGGATCGAGCAGAAAGTGGCTAAAAACGCATAGTGCCAAGATATTTCTGACGCCAATTATGCAACAGTATTCCTTTGGTCAGAAGAAGAAGAAGAAGAAGGAAAAATTCGAGAGAACAGGGGATCGAGAACGGGGCGGGCTCTCCTCGGTAAAGGACGCGATTAATAACAGCCGATAAAAGTCAAGCCACTCGCAGTGACCCGACTGCGACAACGGTGCGGTCAAGGTGGCGCGTTTCGTAATTCAGCGCCGGTGCGCCTCCGCCGTCGCTGTCCTGGCTTCACCTGGCATGCCAATTACACCCAACGCTCTCGTCTTTTTCTCGCGCGCTATCGAGATAACCCACTTTCCGACCGGGCCGAAGAACTCGCTATTCCGTCGTCTCTTCGTGGTCTCTTTCCAACTCGCGATCTGTACAGCCGGACTCGCCCGCGGTCGCCCGCATCCACCAACCTTCACCTATGCCGAAAGAGAATTTATTCTTTTGCTAAAAATTTCCTAGCCTCTCATTGCCCAATTATAGAGAGTTAAGATTTTTTTTATTTATTTTCGCCGTCACGCCATGATTGCGCAATGTGACGAAATATCGTGCGTATGAAGGATCGTGGCGAATAAGATTTGGAAACGCGAGTGTTATGATAGCAGAACGATTTCCCTTTTTAACGCAGAATGCGGAACAAAAACTCTTTTTCGGAGTTTATTATCCGACGACGCTTTGTGATTTTTACATAGTTGTCACAAATTCCTGAAAGAGAAGCTCCAAGTAACTTTCTCTGATATTCAGATACAATTTCACGATTTTCCCTGCTTTTAATAATATTTTGACATTTTTTTGTACTTTCATCTTGATTTGGAAATATTTTCTTGAGGAAGCAATTAAATGTGCCAATATATACATATTAGGTGTTGGAATTAATTCGTAGCGTTTTACAAGTGATGGGAAGTACTTTCATTAATGTATTTTTTAATGCTCATGTGAAATAAATAACATTCTTTCATTAAAAAACGCTACGAATTAATTCCAACACCTAACATTAAACTTTTTTGAAGCTAAGAATGAAAATTTTGCAGCTCGATTTCCAATTTTATGGCAAGTCTGTGTTAAATTTTCTTTCAATGCTTCCTAGAGAGAGATATACCGGCAGAAATGTGGAAGAGAGCAAAGTGGAAATCGAGTTTCTCATTTCCTCGTCACATATATATTTTTTCACCTGTAAACGTCGCTCTTCCTATACGTCTCCAGGTTTCCAGGCGAAACGTGAGTCGCCGTAACATTAAGAAAACATAAGCATAAGAAATCTGTTACAAGAGGTAGAGATCTTGCGACACGCCGCGCTAAGCAAACAGTTATAAATCACGAGGTAGAGTCTTGCTGCGGTTGACCCAGCCGAGGACTCATAACGCGCGAGGACATGGAGGATCAGACTCGGAGTGACGTGTAAAGAGGCGTAAAAGGCGGAGGACTTACCAGCGTACGTGCTCTTGAAGCTCTCATGAAGCTTGAAGGTGAAGGGAATGTGGACCTTCATCATCTCCATTTGCGGTATGCGCGGCGAATGCGTTATCACGCCGCTGCCGCCGCCGAACATCAAGTCGTCGCCGTGGACACGTAGTACCATCATGTTCCTGCGATCAGACAGAATACACGTCTTTCAGATTTCGGCAATTCGCCGCAGCAATTCGAGCTATTCATCGACGACCGACGAGCCGGTTATCAATGATGTGCATTATCGAATCTTCGTATAATTACGCTACGATAATTATGGGCAATTTAAGCTGTTTATTGTTTCAATCCGAGAAATCGTTACACGCTTGAATGCTAATTATATTTATAAATCCAAGAATGAGGAAATGTTATGAGATATTTTTTTTTCTTCTATTTTTAGAACCTTCGAATGAATCAGTGGGGCATATTAATCAATTTATCGTTATCGTCATACCAAAAAAAATCGTTAAAGATTTTGGCGGATAGTTATTTGTAAATCTAAGAATGATGGAATATTCCAAGAAGGTCAGGCGTCATTCTTATTATTTTTAGAAAATCAATTCCAAGTTTTTCAAATTTTTCCCATTTTTTCAGGTACTCTCTAAATCTGAAACAGTGAATAAAATGTGAGAAATCTCTGACCTATCTAATCTTTATTATGTGATCTAACTAATCTTGTTTTAGTGAATAAATTCAGTGAATGTAATATTAGGAAATTGAAATTAACATGCAAATATCAGTATTTTAATATATAATGCTCAAATATTCTTCCTTTTTTAATTAAACTTCATTAATTATTCAGAGCCAAGTATGTCACTGGATTAATTAATGACTATCCAATTCAGATTTAGAGACTACCAATAAATATCCTGGTTTATTTTAATCTCCGAGATTGTATCTATTAATAGCAAAGAAACCAAAATTAATATTGCAGAAATTATTGCTCGTTCTGATAATCGCAGCAAAAAATAATTCTTACTTCTGATTAAAAATGCTAAAGAGCTAGCAGAAAAATGCAAAAACTCTTCGCGAATAGAATCCCCAAGACCGTCAGCCTCTGCCAATATAAATCAATCGAGGAATGGTGAAAAGAAATCAGATATGCATGAAAGCGGTTCATCGAAAGTTGCTAATTTCAGAATTAAGATGATCAGCAGAATCGGATATGCGATGATTAACTATAGCGGTCAACATTTAATTTCTTGCTACAGAATAGGGACGATGACGACGGAACGCAAATAACTGACACGGAATAATAAAAATTAAAATGATCATTTACAGTTAAACGATGGCGATTAACATGCAGACGACTAACTGTTGCTACCGAGTCGGGTTCGAAACCAAGTCTGAAACCAGGCTGTCAATGACCTTGCGGCCTTGAGACCCAAAGGAACTCTATTACGACAAAAGTAATTCGGTGAAGCGGATCAGAGGAAGACAGTTGTACGATTAGAAAGACAAATTCGGAGTTATGAGGCACTTCATACCCGTTTAATCCCACCAATGTAGATTAACTTTAATCCTCGATTGCAGGACCTGGTCATTTGATCAAATTCAGACTGGTTGCTAGAATAAAAACATTTTTTGTTGCGCGGTTCATCATTTTTTTTAATTTCCAACAAATTTATTTTCAGATCTAAATCCAGTAAAAGTTTAGATCTTTCGGCAAAATCCTTTTGTCCCTGCATGGAAAAATATATTAGGTGCGCAACTAAGTTCTCGCTGTTATTTTGATGGCATTTTCATCAAAATAACAGCGAGAACTTAGTTGCGCATCTAATATTTTGCTGAGCGATCCAAAGTTTTAGATTGAAATCTATTATTTCCTGTTCCATTTCAACAGTGTCTCAGACTTCAACTTACACTTAATCTTCCTCTAATTCTTAGAAGTAGAAAAAGATGCAGAGTAAGTTGGACGAAACTAAAGTTAATTTATATTGGCAAAAGTAGACATCTCAGAATTGTGAATGTAACACCTCGTCCCGTAATACGTCATAATAATCAAGGATAAAAAATATTTAATATCCATATATAAAGAAGAATTAAGAATAAGAAACGGGTTTTTCAGCTTTGCATGCCGAAGGTTAAATTTCATTCATTAATAATTCTTCCTATTCATCCATATATCATTTTTGTTCCATAGAAAGAAAATTTACATCACAGTTCTAATCAACGTCAAAGCCGATGTGTTAAAATTGTAATTTTGCATTGATTTTCTCTACAATTTCGTAAATCTACCATGACACGAGTGATCGCGAGCATTTCGTGAAACAGCTTTCATAAAAAAATCACATTAATTTAACGTTAATTAATGACACGTAAAGTATCCTTGACGACTGATAATTTCCCCGTTTTATTACACGAAAAATTACTGATGGCCTCGCGGCTATTAAAAGAAATATTTTGATGAAGCATTCGACATCTCAAATTATGAATTTCGAAGATTCGCAATTCAAGGCAAGATTCGAGTCGTAAAATTCAGCCGAAACAGCAAAATGTGAGAATAAATGTGAAACGCATTTATCGGATACGAAATAAGCGCATGACTTCAGAACCTGCAGAAGAACCTCATCCCGATTCAACAAGAATCGTGATAATCGCGATGATTCGCGAAAGTCGAGAAGGAGGAAGGAGAGCGCGAGATGACGTACAAAGCGGTCGACGATGATAACGATGGCAACGTCGATGAGGGAATTTACTGCTCGCGATTGCGAGGAGTTTCACGATTTACAAACAGTGCGACTTAGCTTTCGAGACTCTTTCGTTCCTACTTTCGAGACCCCGAGCACGAAAGTGGCTGCGTCACTCGAGAAAATCAGAGATACTTATCGCTCGTTGTGCCGTTGTCGTCTCTCGTCGTCGTCGTCGTCGTCGTCGTCGTCGTCGTCATCCGGAAGCGCGGAACTTCGCGACTGTTGACTTCAACTAAATTGTCGACTCTCGAAACGTCTCGGCCGTGTCGTCCGTGAGAGAGAGAGAGAGAGAGAGAAATAGAACACACACTCGTGTTCATTTCTATTAATGTGTAGATTAACTTTAATCTCGGTTTGATCTGCTCTTTATCTTTTTCAAATTTTTAAAAGTACAGACAGAAAAATATCATTCTGTTACTAAGAAAAGTGATTACTCAATTTATTTATTTATTGTTTTCTTTTAAGTAATCTTTAACTGACAATAAGAATATTTTTTGTGTAATATTTATTAATAATCTTATATGATATTTATTGTAAATTTTGGAAAAAAAATCACAATGAGAAAAAGATACTTAAAGATATATTTGTGATAGATATATTTATTATACGGGTGAAATAACATTTTATTCCTATAGCAAATAAGTCATCTATTTTAATTTTTTGCAATTAATGAGATACAGTTCACAGAAATGTATTGTATATTTTGTCATTACAATCAAATTTCGTAAGTAACATTTGCTTCGCAATATTTCGACATTTTTCTCTCAGTGCATTATGTACTGATGGTGTAATGAAATTACATTATTATAGGAATGTTTGTCTTATTCCGCGCGAAATGAAATTCCAGACTGTGTTAAACTTCGAAATTTCTCGAAAGATAAGGCAGGAGAAGAGAAAGAAGAATCAATCTTCTTTACTCAAAACAAGAATTTATTTTTTTTTAAAGAAGCGATTTTATATAACAAGCAAATGGAATTTGCTTTAATTTAATAATCTTAATTGAAGTATTAAACCTATTAAACTTCAAAATATATTTTGAATAAATTTATGCTTGTGATGAATTTCACTGAAAAAAAGTATCGTATTTGTAACTATAATTGCATAGTAAAATAATTATGGTTAGGAGCATCATTTTTATAGTTATTATTGCTATAATGTTAATAACAATAACTTTATATATATATATATATATATTGTAGTTTCATGAACCGTACAAAAATTGTACTATAAATTGTGATAATTTCAAATATTAATATAGTAAAATATAAAATTTTTATGTGATAATTGCAATCATAATTATAATGAATATAACCATTTTTTCAATATTCAATTACTATTGGTAACAATATATAAAAAATATATTTTTAAAAATGGAAAAATCTGCTGTCATTTTCAAATAATGTAATTATATTAATAGCACATTTAACTGTATTTCTAGCTACAAATTTAATTGGTCAAATTTACTATACATATAAAAATTAAAAAGAAAATTAATAGTCAAAGTAAATTATAAAAATTAAAAAGAAAATAATTGTGAAAGTAATTATTTGCACTAAATGTTTGGCAATACTATACACGGAAAAAACAGATTTGATTGAATTAAGTGAAATTGTGATGGAAAATATGAAAGACCCAAAATTCTAGTTGAGTTACTAAATTTTTGGTTAAATCTATCAGATTTCTGATTAAAATAACCAATTTCAAAATCTACCAGAATTCTAGTTGAAATAACTATTAGGTGTTGGAATTAATTCGTAGCGTTTTACAAGTGATGGGAAGTACTTTCATTAATGTATTTTTTAATGCTCATGTGAAATAAATAACATTCTTTCATTAAAAAACGCTACGAATTAATTCCAACACCTAATAGAATCTAATCTTCTATTAATCTAAATTTAACCAGAAATCTAATAAGCCTAACTAGAATTTTGGATCGTTCACCACAATTCCAGTTAATTCAACCAAATATTTTTTTCCGTGTAGCAATAGTATATTTGACCATAGTTACATAAATAATAATTTAACATTTCCCTTAAAAAAAAAACTACAGGAATAAGAATTATATTACAGTCAAAGCCGGTCACACATGCTAAAAATAAAACACGCAACACTCAGATCGCAACGAGACGAAACATGCCACGGTCGGACGATCTCTCGAGACTGAGGACAATCGCTTTGTAATTATCATTTCCTAACTATTAATAAATACCAGGGTATTATTTCGTTTCTTTTTTTATGTAAACTCCTCAAATATTATAATAATAATATGGCAGCAGAGCCATGAAATTAAGAATGGTTACAGTAGAAAGTGTAAGTAACGTTGACAATGTCTCGATCACGAGCGATTAGCTCAGCGTAAATGTAGGCTACCGTTCTAAGGATCATAGGTCGTAGATCGCAGGTCGTTTTTTAATAATTACTTATAGTTAATAAGATAGAATATAGGT